TCAGCCCCATTTTCGGACCTCTTGAGCCGCTCCTTGAGCTGCCCATTGTGGGGGCCGGCGACCCAACCGACGACCTTGAGGTGCCGTTGGGTGAGTTGCTGGCGGGCATCTTGCGAGCAGGCCCTAGCCGGCTGGCGTAGCCGGGTCACAGCACCCCCTGACCCCGAGGACTCCTGACGCGGCCGCAAAGAGGTGCGAGAGGGAAAAAATAAGACGGCCGCATCGACGTTGTCGCGAACGGGCTGTCTTTGTGGCATGGCGCGGAGAAGGCTGTTGACGCCACCATCGTCATTCGCGCAACCGGGGGCGGGTGATGCTCAGCCTGGTGTTGACGTGCACTCCATCCATGCTGTTATGTGCTGTTGATGGCACCGTCCGACGCAAACGCCACCGAACCGACCACAAGCTCGTGCGCTCGCCGCTGCCGCATGGTGGTCGTCGTTGTCGGGGTTGGAGGCCGGTTTGGCGCTGAGGCTACCATGATGCTCGCCGGGCAGCGTGCCTCGCACGCGCAAGCGGCAGTGCGGGCAGCATCGCACGCAGCTCGCTGTGCAGCGCGCCGTGGCCTGGAGCTCCCGCTCGTTGGCGAGTGCAACGTCGCCGGGCGCCTCGAGCTGCACCAAGTCCTCGCCGACGCGCGTTGCGGTTTCCGGTGAGTGGCAGCCAGTATAGGGGCCTCGTTAATGCTTTGGTGAGAGCGCCTCCGTAGGACCACTGACGGTTGGGATTCTGGGCTGTCGAAGAAAAAATGCGTGGAAATGGTAGAATTGGTAGACTGTTGTAGGGTGGGCACGGCTTGAGCCCGCCTCAGCAGGGAGGAAAAGTCCGTGGAAAAAAGAGGTTCCCGAAACAAAAATGGAACGGGCACATGCGGCGGCCAGTGCGCTTGCCGCCCTCAGCGCCGCGCGATCCGTATGGGTGCACCGTTGGAGTTGCATGCTTTCCGTTGCTTTCCTGCTTCACGGCTTGAGCTCGCAGCGGCCGCACAGCTTTGTGCTGCAGGGTCGCGCGCGGCGGCAAACACGCACCAAGAGCAGCGTCGGGCGTAAGCATTGCTTCCACCATCTTGCACTGGGACCGGGGCTCCCCTGCGGCCTTGCGCAGTCGTTTTTGCAAAGTCAATAAAACAGGCGGGTTGCGGCAGAAAGTCGCATGCGATCAAGATTTTTTCTCGGCATTTTTCCGTGCACATTTATTGTTTCGCACCCTACAAGGCCCGTGAACATGTGCTGATGGTGGGGCCGTATGGTGCCCAGTGTCTGCTTGAGGGAGCATGTAGGCCATTTGTGCTGTTGGGTTTCCTTTTGGCTTGTGAGGCCCGGGGTTGCCAAATCGCTGTTGGCCGAAGAGATGGCGGCTGCAACGGGAGCTACGATCCGAGATTCCATTTTCGTGGAAATTGATTCTGCGTGGTTGAGCTGTCCGGTATTGTGTATTGAGTATATTGTTTCATGTTGGCAACCTTTGTGCTGAGGACAAGCCCTTCGTGTTGCAGCTGCATCGGGACACGCGTGTTGCATTCTCAGTAAGTGGGTTTGGGAGGTTTGGTTCTCCATTTGCTGGGTTCACGAATGCTCACCCGTCAATGATATGCCGTGAGTGCGGGCTCGTCTGTCTCGGCCCATACAAATGAGATGTTGAAAAACGAGCCCAGCACAGATTGAATCGCCAGCGTAGCGTACAACAGAGCCAAGCCTACATGACGGGAAGGTTGGGTGAACAACAAGTACTAATCGCATCTACCAATTGTCCTTCTGAGTGGCCACCCACCCACCCACGCATCCACGTAATCACGCACGGATGCACCGGTGCACCCACGCACCCACGCACCCACGCACCCACGCACCCACGCACCCACGCACCCACGCACCCACGCACCCACACACCCACGCACCTACGCACACATGCGCCCATGCACCCACGCACCACGAATCCAAGCATCCACGCACACACGGACAGATGCACACGCGCACACATGGACAGACGCACACATGCACACACGGACACACATGACACACGACACACGCACACACACGAACGCACACATAGGCGAGCACATACACACGCTGTGGGAAGCCAAGTCCCGAACACCTGCACTTCAGGCAGCTATGACGAACTCGCATGTTGTGAAACGCTTTGGTTTGGTTGTGATGTTGAAAGACCGACCAGGGTATTCCTAGCGGCCACGCTTTATGGATTGGACGTAGCTGTGTCATTAAACAGTTTGCTCGTTCATGTAAGGCAGAGGATCTGACAACACGTGGTGGTGTTGTGAAAAAGGAGATCCTGCCGGGAGGCACGAGATGCTGTGTGAGTGCATGAGTGCCGTTATGCTGTTGACACCGTGCTAGGCCCTACTGTAAGGGCTTCTGCTAAATGAACTATATGGGGGCAGCAGTATGCTTGACCGGTAGCCATTTCAGCTTGAGACAGCCTGCTGTGTGCTCATACGGTTTCTCAGATGCTTATGGTTGGTAGATGGATGAACGATTGGCCAGTGTCGGTGGAGTCTTTCTTGCAAGGTCAACGTTGATGTGCGCAGAGCAATGGCCTGGGAGTTGTCCAAGCTTGGGACGCTTCCATTGGGGAGACCATGCACGCCCAGCCGAAGGAATGGAGAAAGCTTGCCGCTGACGCACCGGGGGGCCAAACCGTCGCAGGACAATACATTGCCCACAATTGTTTTCCAGGCGGACATTTGCATGCTTTGCTGTTGTGCAAGTACATGTGAAATACGTTAGTGTGGATATAAAACTTCGGACCGACATCCTCGACCGAAACGCAAGTGTTCTGAATAGCTTCAAGTTGTCAAGGGGCTCTGGCCCTGGCTTCGCGAGCCCTTAGAAAGGTGTTTTGGTTTCCGCGGCTGCCGGGCGAATCTGTTTTCAGAAAGCGCATCGATGACCCGAAGGCCTTCTTTGCTGACCAGGGTTGTTTGTAGGATTTAGGAAACTTCCACAGAACTTCGTCAAACTTGCCAATGGTCTGGAACCCCAACCCCCCCCGACCTGCTAGTAACTTTTGGGAAGGTCTTGATTTCTCAAACCCACACTTTTTCGATGTCCTTGCAGTCGCTCATCTGCTTTGCAGGGCATGGGTTTTTAGAAATAGAATCTCCGGGTAAACACGCTCTTGTTAGGTCCGAAACGCCCATGTAGAGACAAGGCCTAACCTGCCAGTGTTGAGTTCGCAGGGCTTCGATTCCGATGCATTTCTCACTTCTGACTGTGCAACCAGTTGCAAAACCCGAACACAAAGAATGTCGTAGTAGAGGGGGTCATGCAAGGTGTCATGAACGGCCGCGCCGTGTGCACGGGGAGTGTCGATGGAGCGCTATACAAAGTCCTGCGCACCCAGCATAATCCAGCATTCGGATCATTGGGCAACGTTGGGCAATGTATGTGTCATCAATGCTGCTGGTTGCAGAGTTGAAGATTTGTTGAAAGGACCCCTCCCTCAATGGCTCCTTCAATAAGAAACAGTCAACTTGGAGGGCATCAGTTGTGCCGATGATGCTCGGAGTGTATTTCCACGTCATTTGATGCGCGACTGGTTTCACTTGCCCACCCCATACGTTTGAGTTTTGCGGCCACGGAGGCCTTCTTTATGGGCGAGGTCCTTGTACCGCCACTGTGCACCCTCAGTGAAGAGTACCTTGGCTTGGCTTAGAAATGATGTCGTTTCGCTTTCGGATGTGAGGTGCTTCTAAAGCCATCCTTGTCACCTCATTTCGCACTTGATTCGCTTGCGGCTTGGGTGCATGTTGTACGATCAGGCACACATGGGTACCAACAGGCAAGTCAGACCAACTGGTTGTTCTTGTGAGAAGCCTTATGTCCCCGAAGCAGGTACCGCTTGCATCGGCTTCCCGTACAGCGATCAAATCGTGTGCCTCCCGACGGAGTCATGTCCTATGATCAATGGCAGGTGCAATTCGGCCGCCACTACTTGAACAAGTACCAGCAGCCCCGTCAGAAGTTCAAGGAGCGGGCAGATCGCCTTCTGAAGGCGCAGGAGAGGGAAAAGCAAGCTGAGGGAGACATGGCCGAAGTGGCGGAAGCCTTCTCGGCGGCTTTCCCGCTGTGTGGCTCGGGGATCTTCCAGAGCCCAACCGGCCCGGATTTGGAGCCTGAAGCTCAGAGGCCAAGGCATCCGAAGCAGAAGCTACCAGAGCCAGAGCGTCCGACGCAGCTCCCTGATCCCATCTTTGCGGAAGATCCGAATCGCGTCGGTGGCCGGGAGGAGGAGAAGGATGCCCTTCGACTTCTCTCTGCAGACTTCCAGGCGCCTTGCTGTGATTTTTTTCGGTTTTAGGCTTGTCGCACTTGCTTTTCATGCCAAATTGTTATGGCATTTCCTGTCGTTTGTTTCAGGCACCTTGCTATTTGGACGTGGACTTGGCTTTTGTGGGGCTCTCCGAGATGGAGAAAGCTTTTGTGAGCGACTACGCCGGCACCTTTGCCTTCAAAGTGCAGACCCTTCGGGTTCCACCCATGAGCGACGGCTGGGTTCGGATCCAGGCTTCCGAGGTTTGTTGCGACGGGGACCTGGTTGACATCGAAGAGCCTTTCGAGCTGCAGGTGGGGGCCAGGGATGAAGCCACGGATTGAATCATCCCAAACCTAAAACTCTAAATGCCCGTCACCTATGAATCCTCGCCTGGCTTGTCCGAGTTGTGAGAGTGTAAATGCCCTGACGGGGCCTTTTCGATCGACGCCAACCAACCTCGCTCTTAGACCCTTGCCTTTAATGCTGCCCTAAAGCATGGGATGCTTGATGCTCAGCAACTTGCACTCTCTTCTTTCTTGGAATTCAAACATTTCCCTCCAGTGCGACTTGGTCAGCTGGACGGAGGGGAAAACCCCAAACCCGAAACCTTACACCTTGAGATCGGGAACCAGTTTTCTGGCATATTCAGGAACCTCCAATTATTCCGGGCTTCTCTGATTAGGGTTGTTTTTGGGAGTTCTTTTCAAGATACGTTGTAATCCAAGCCTTGAGCAGTAAGCACCAAGTAGGAGAAGCCGGGCAATTGCCCGACTCCAAACGGAGCGGCCTTGTCCGGCATCCTGGCTACACGCGCCAACGGCGGGAAGATGGCGAACTCGCTTCCGGTGCCTTTGATGCTTTGGGATGTTGGTTGGGGCTTGGGGAAGGGCATGCATTTCCTTGGGTCGCTGCCTTTTTGACGATCCCTTATCCTCACTCCTGATCGACATGATGCACCTACACCCTATGCAAGTGATCTTTAACCCTGAACCCTAAATGCGAAAACCCAGCCGCAGCCACGTTTGAGGTGTACCCTCTCTGGTGTTCCTCGTGGGAAGCTGGCTCCCTGGAGTTTGCGGCTCGTGAAGGGATCCCATGCACGCTGAACTTTTCGGGGGCAGCGGTGTCGGCGTCTTGGGTGCAGGCGAGCAGGCGGCCTCTTCTTGTTCGCAGTCTCCTCCTCCTCCTCCCCGTACCCATCCTCCTTGTCCTCCTCATGTTCACTGTCTTGTCAATCCATATCTCTGTCGGCATCCCATCCGATCCTTCTTTTCATGTCGTCGTCGTTGTCGTCGTCGTTCGTTACGAGAACATTTTGTGAACTATGTTTACTGTCGTTCTTGAATGTGCTTTTGCTTTTTTTTTTTCTGCCGCTGATGCTGGCGTCGACCTTTGTGCACATGCAGTATCGGTTTTCGTTTCCCGGGAGGCATATACGTTCTCAGCCCTTTGTCGAGCTTCTGCATATTCTTCACTCGCAGATACGGGTAAGTCGCTTCGCGCAGTAGCAACAAGAAGCAGGACTTAGTAGCCCATGCCTCTGAAACTGGCTGTCTGACTTCCCACCCCTAAACCCTCAACCCTAAACCCTAACCCCTAAACCCTAAACCCTAAACCCTAAACCCTAAACCCTAAACCCTAAACCCTAAACCCTAAACCCTAAACCCCAAGGTATGGGTGTCGGCGACGGAGTCAGTCAGACGACAACGACACCGCCTCCTTGAGCCCCTCACTGCCAGAGACAGAGTCGACAGACGGGACCGACGGCTTAGCTTTGGCGATGTCGATTACTTTCCCAGAAATGTCCCCATCAGGCCCGGCGTTTGTGCAAGTGCCCTAGAACCCGCAACATTCAAACCCAAACTCGCGAAGCCTTGCCTGCCTTGCGCGAGTTCGAGAGTTGTAAACTGGCCCGCCTCGCCAACTTGTGAGAACGAAACTCAGCCAAATCAGACTGTACATCCGACACGGCAAAAACCTGAAACTCTAAATGCACTGGGGCCCCTTGCAGGCTGATCGCTGTTGACCCGTGGCACGAGCCCAACGAGCGAATTAGAGGCATCCACAAGATGATGAATCCCGCAAGGCCTTTGGTGTGCAGGCAAGGAAGGCAGTCCATGTTGCTCTCAGCGGAGCGAGGGTGAAGGAGGGGTCTTGTGCATGCACCCAGCATGCCAGTTTTACTTGTAGCTTGGTAATGTCTGATGGCACAAGTCTTTGCCTGGAGCTTAGCTCAGTCTGCACTGTGAGCCGAAGGCTCGTGTAGACCAGAGCCATCAATCCAGCTGAGACTTTCGACAGGCTGGCTGCGCTATGGCAGAAGCCATCACCGTATCAGCGTCGTGTCTGCCTTTGCGAAAAATGCATGTGAGAGTTTAGGCCTAGGCCTCGGGGATAGGCTTAAGTTGTAAGGTGCAGGGTTTCGGAGCTGCTGTGTGGCATTCAGGCCGTGGTGAAGCAGTCAGTCCGAGACCTAGTTGTCTTCATGTTACCTGCATCGTGAATCAGACGTGGGAGGCAAACGGCAAGCATTTCTTGGCAACGAATTTCCTCTCTTGTGCTAAAGGCAGGTTGTCCGCAAGCCGGCTGTGGCTCTTCCGTAAGCCCCGGGCCCTAAACTCAACTAACCCTAAACCCTAAACCCAACTAAACTGGGTCGGTCCCAGGTTATGTGGCAGAAGCCGGAGGGGCTCGGAACCTGGAAAAGAGCATGCCGACCGTATAACCGCTTTGGCACAAGGACACAGCATGGCATTATCCTTTCCGTATGTATAATATAAATATAAATATAAATATAAATATATATATATATATATTTATATGTTTATATATATATATAAATAAATAAATAAATAAAATTGTATATATATATATATATATGTAATATACATATATAATATAATATTTAATATATATGTCTTCATACAGCTATGAACAACTGTCTCGTTCTGTCATCATGTAGAGTTTTCTGGTAGGTTTCACGAGGCACTAGTTTGTAAAGGACACGAGTCTAAGACCATTAGTGTGTCATGGTATGCAGGTAAAACAAAGCACATGTTGGCGGTTTACAGGGTCATAGATTCGAGAGAGTTTTTTTTGCTCAGTTGTGGTGTACGTGTTTGTCATCATGCATCACGTTGAGGTAGTAGTGGCTACCTTTGCCAAGATCGTCGCTACTATGGTTGCCTTTACCTTTGACAGCAACATCGTCTTCACACTAGTGTAAAGTGTGTATGGCACAATAGGCAGTGATGTTGAATTTAGCAGTTTACAGCGGGAAAACAGTAGTGTCACCGAAAAGACAATTATAGCAGAGCGCCTAACTGAACAACCTAGAGAACAATACAGACCATGTGAAGTATAGCAACGGTACATACGCAATTGCACCCCTCGTGCACGCACAGTCGGCATCGTCCAGGTTCTCACCGCCGATGTCTGCGTGCTGGATGACGCCGGATCCCAGCACAACTCGACTCGGCTATTGCTTTGTTCCTGTAGCTGTTGTTGCAAGTCTTAAGAGCACGGAACACCAGGATGCTGAGAAGTTTTGTGGTAATAGACTTTATTGCTGGAAGAAAAGCATCATGGCTTGTTACTATCCTTGTTGTTTTGCTTTCCGTCGTTTTGGGTGTTCTCGTTGTTGTAGCTGGTTCATCATGGTCAAGTTAAGCCGTTAAGCTTTCAATTTTGTGTCTCTTGAGGGCCTGATGCTGTCCAAAGATAGGTTTTGTGGCTTCGTGAGCTGGGGTTTTGGTCGGGGACGGGTCAGTGCATCTTTTCTGTGTGTCTCTGACTGTCTGTGCAGTTTGGGGGATTGGGCCTTCGTGTTCAAGTTGTTGCGCTCAGCTTTGGAAACCAGCCACTTTCCGGATTTTGAAGCTCCCCATCGCTACGTGGCCGTCTTCCAGCAACTGAAGCTGCGTGAGTAGAAGACCGCAAATCCGAAGCCATGGCGCTCCTTAACGAGGCTTGGTGTGGGGCCTGTTTTTTTTTTTGGAGGAAGGATAAGGTTGGGTATTGCTGCGACGGGACTGCTTGAACGTATGACGAGAAAGGTGCTTAGAGTTTGGAGGGTTCGCAGTTAGAGGTTGATGAAGAGAAGTCTTCACGGAACTCCCATACGAGCGAGCTGGAAGATCTCCCGAACATCGGAAGCCTCCAAGCCTGCTTTTGGCGTTAAGGGTTTAGCAATCCACACCCGAAGCCCGAAACACTATGGTTTCGACGCCGCAGAGGATCGGAACATGAAAGAATATGACGAAGTCCGTGGTACTCTAAACTCTAGACTCTTGAACCAGAGATGGAACTGTGTTGCCCTTTTGTCCAAGCAGGCTTTCACCGTTGGGGCGGTTCCGGAGACACTGCCCGCCAGGTGAGGGTGGGAGATGGGGTGAGAGGGATGACGATTAGATCCGAGGCACACTTGAAAGACCAAGGGCCTTGTTCAGTAGATTCATAAATAGGGTGCTCAGCCTCATAACAACTAGGTGCGTGCACCATAGGCGCCCCTGTTGCAAGAGACACTTCCGGTAATGTTCAAACACCGAGTCGAGCACTTGAACTTTGAAGAAAAGCACAGGGGCGTGTACGGGTCACGGTCCAACTACTTGCCTCTCTCACTTCCGTACTTTAACCTTCTCTACGAAGTCCCTTGAATGTTACAGGAGGGGAGTGAACTTTACTTGTTGGGCCGTGGTTCTTCGACAGTCATGTAATCTGTCTCGTGTTGAAAAGATGTGCTTTTGGTTTGCTTTGGACGTGGCCAACCCTAAGCCTTCAGCCCTAAATCGCGCAGTTCTGTCATGTGGTATGCAACAAAACCTTAAGCCATCCAAAGCTCAAAACGTTACGCTTAAAGCTAGATGCCTAAATCCCAACGCAGCTTTCCGCCCAAGCCCAAAACCCCAAACTGACAACTCGAAATCACCCCAAAGACCCGAAGCCTTGTGCCCGAAACCCAAAAGCCTAAGCCCTAAACCAGGCTGGCCACACAGTCTGGGCGGCGAGTGCATGAGGTGCCGGAAAGAGGCACAAAGAAGGGTTCAGGGCAGGGTAAAAGGCCGCAGACTTTGGCCTTAAGCTTGCAGGGCAGTACAGGGATTTGGCACCTGAGAATTTACGGCTGTCCATTGCAATCAACTTCTTGGTCAGACTGTTGAAGGTTCTTTTTCGCCCTGAACCCAAAACCGTCAACATAACTACAGCCAGCAATGCAGGATGCAATCAAAAAGGAACTCCAAATCCCGGACTCCGCCATTCTGAGCTGTGAAATCCTCAGCCCTGAACGCTTCAAAGCAGGCGCCTCGTCGTCACTGGCGGCTGTTGCATCAGTTTTGGCCGCGGGTGCCGCTGTGAAAAGGCGCGGTTTTCCGCCCTTTAGGGCGAGGGGCTTGGGATGACGGTTTAGGATTTAGGGAGGGGTCGTTGCGGCTGGGGCTTTCGGGCTACCATTCCGGCTCCGTTTGGTAGATGTAGGCATGATAGGATAAGAAAGCCTGAGCATGGTCGGACAGATGTTAACGTAAATCTATATACACTTGTGTGTGCGATTGTATACATTTTTTACACCTACGTACATATGCTGCATGTACATACGTCATACACATACATACATGCATGCATACTTACATACCTGCATACATACATACATACATACATACATACATACATACATACATACATACACATTTAAGATTATGTATACATGTATGCATGAACACTTAATTAATGAATAACAAATGTAGGTTCGAACATATGCATATTATTAGCAATACCTATGGATACACATGTAACACTCATGTAACTTTACATTCAGATGAATGGAAACAGGTGCGTGTACATTGGCATTATTATTAACATTGGCACTCGTTCGAGCATTTGCCTTGACATCGTACCATTACGCTACAGTTTTGTGCGTAAATTTTCGCTACATGACGCTACACTACAGTAATGCATGCATACATGCATACATGCATACATGCATACATGCATACATACATACATGCCGAGAGAGAGACATAGTGTTCGGGGTTGGGGGCTCGCAGTGGATCCACCCAGGACAAATTGTGTCCTCGTTTGCTGCGGTCATTCCGACCCCAATGCCGGCCACTCCATAATACACTGGGTGGTCGGGCGGGCCCATGGCCTGAGGGTCGCTAGACGACCCCTAAGCCCGGCAGAAAGAAAGAGAGAGAGAGAGAGAGATGGCTAGACCCCAACCACATGCAAGCAAGCAAGAAAGGTGGGGCAGCAGACAGACAGATAGATACATAGATAGGTAGATACATAGATATGAATATTCTCCTGACGTGCTTTCGATATCAGCGTGGGTTCGTGTGTATGTGCCCGTGGGTGTGTCCCCACATATTTTTTTGCTCTCTGCCGTTTTGTTCGAGTTCTTCAGACGCAGGGCTTCAAAAGTGAGGTGCTGTTATCGGCACACCGGCGCTGGGGAGCATAAGAGATCAGATAGACATGCCAAACAAGGACCAACATGGGGATAGATAGCGAGCGAGAGCAAGAGATGCAGAGATTGAGACAAGACCACGGACAACATGCAGAGAACGAGTGTCGAGCACTGGTATTTGCTTTGTTGTGTGTTTTCATTTTTGATTGCGTAGTTCGTATGCGCATGAGCGATGGCATCTCTTCCTCTGTCTTTCTTTTTCTGTTTCTTGTTCGCTGTACGCTTGTCTTCACCAGCATGTGTGTAACGACATGGCCTCAAGGAGTGATCTCTAAATCCTAAACCCGAAACCCGTGAAGTAGGAGGCAGCAAAAAGCCTTGAACTCTGAAAGCCTCCTGCTCACAAACTCACAGCCCTAAAGCACTTTTGATTTGCAAGAGCGTGAAGCCGTGAAGCATCTTCGATGTCCATTGCGAGGCGTCCAGAGGCCCGGGCGGCCGCCGTAAGAATGAGGGCCGGTGCCTTACGAGAGGAGCTGTGCAGGGTTGAGGCTTTTGGGGTCCACGAAGGGCTTTAGGGTTCAGTTTGTTCGTTGTTTTGGGCCGGGGACGCCAATATGAACCAGAAATAGTCGGATCATTTCGAATCCTTATCGCAAGTGCTCTCAGTAAGGTAAAAATGTCCTGCGCCAATCTGTATGAGGAGTAAGTTGCAGTTAGAGGGTTTTGCCATTTCACACTGAGCAATATTACACCTCGGCCATCCGAGAATACTTCACTCGCAGCGCAGCGCATCCCAAAATGCCGGCAACATCATCATCTAGCTTTGTTCTTGCAGAGCTTGGTTGCCGATATCCTACAGGGGCAGGGTTTTGGGTTCAGGATTCCTGGTTCATGGGTTTTAAGGTGAAAGGGTCAGTCAGGTATTTGGGCTGTCCAGGGTTGCAGGAAATAAATACCCATACTGTTCCTGAAGGGTTCCTTTACTCCTGAATCCCTGAAACCTCCATGTATGGATAATGGGTACGAGGTGAGGCTGGTACGATGCGAAGGTCAACAGGCTTGGTAGATTGACATGCTTTTTTCTGCAGCCCCTTGGAGGTGAGCCCTCAAGGTCCCTCCTCAAGATGCGAATCCTGCCCAAGACCGGAAGTGGGAGTGCGGTTGCAGCTCATGATCCATGTGGCTCCATTTCCCCATTTCTGAAGCCATCACGGTCCGTAGAACAGGGGCACGGGTTTAGCGTCCACAGTTTTGTTTTAGAGTCTAGGGTTTGGGGTAGAGGTTATGCATCTGCGGAGTTGCTCGAAGGCAACAGACAGACCTTGTCTGAGGCGGAGACCGCTGTGGTGGAGAAGCCGAAGGAGGAGGTCAAGGGGGACATGGACAAGGAAAACGCGTCTCGGGCCACACCAAGATTCCCTCAACCCTATACCCTAAACCCTAAACCATCCTAAACCCTAAACCCTAAACCCTAAACCCATGATTGTTGGGGCCTTCGAGTCCAAGCGCCTCAAGGGTCATCCACGAGCAGTTCCGATTGTGTTTTTTTACAATCAACCTGCGGATCTCCGAGGAAGCGCTGATCGAGTCCTTGGCTGAACAGGCCACCCTTGTGCCGTTTTTTGCTTGATGGCTCCACTCCCCGAAGTTGTTTTCAGTGCCGCAGGTAGAAGCAATCAACGAGCTGGAGGAAGAGTTCGAAAAGAGCCTCGCCCTGCATATAAAGGTTAAGCTTCCAAGCCCTTCGCTTGCCATGATTTGTTTAGTGCACGGCCATGGGGTGAATCACTCGCAGCACCAGCAATCCCGGACCCTAAACCCTAAACCCTAAACCCTAAACCCTCAACCCTATCGTAAACATTGAGGCTCGGTAGCCCCTGGTAGAGCCAGGATGGACAACGACGGACTCCGCGCCAAGGTGGTGGAGCTGAAGCAGCGTATTCAGGCTTCCGTGCTTGCCACCCTAAACCCTAAACCCTAAACCCTAAACCCCTAAACCCCTAAACCCCTAAACCCTAAACCCATGCTTGCCACACGGTTCTTGCAGTGTCGTATTACTGATAGGTCATGTGTGCATTCACCTGCACACTTTGTTTGGCGTGCCTGTATGTACAAAGAGCCCAAGCATAAACAGACAAACGGATGGATTGACACGTAGACATAAATAGATAGCAACGCAGTAGTATGTATTCGGATAGATGGCATAGGTGCGTAGATGCACATTCATTCATGCGAGCACAAGCAGAGGTACTACCTGTGTGTTTTTCTCATACACCCTCGTGCCTGCTCTTTAAACCTCTCTACATCGTGGCTAGGCCCAATCAAAGAAGTACTGCTCTTTATGTGCTCATGTGCGCATACGGTCCGCATCTTGCAGTTCTGTTTTGTCGTTCTCCCGAAACTCCGAACCCCCAAACCCTCACTGTCCCAGCTAAGACCTTTCAAGCCGCAATCCCTGCAGGCAAAGGGCTTCGAGACGCAAACAGTCAACGAGGCTTTCGCGGTCCTCCGTGAGGCAAGCAGAGCACCGACGGGCCATGTGACAAGCGTTTACCCAATTTGGGGTTTGAGGTCTAAGACCCAGGATGTGAGTGCCTAAGGGCTGAGGAGGAAGAAGGCTTTGGAATCCAGGTTTGGTAACAGCTCAGAGCTTGGTGCAGGCACAGGCAGGCAAAAGCACATGGCTACAGCAAGCTTCGAGCCAGAGGTGCTTCAGATCTCCCTAGCCTGATCCTGATTGTGACATTCAGGCTAACGACCACGACTACTCTTTCTATAGTTCTGTCGGTATCATTTCTGGTCTTGGCATCCCAATCTCCCGGAGCCCTAGGCCGTTTGGCGGGTCCTGGAGCTTTGGTACTTCGATGTGCAGCTCCTCGGTGGCCTGGTGCTACACGGAGAGCGCCTGGCAGAGATGAAAACAGGCCTATGACAGCCTGTCGGGATTTAGGGCTTTGGTTTCTTGGGGTGGGTTTGGTGTGGTTTTGGTTAGGGTGAGCCTCATGGCAGGATTTCTTCGGCACTTGGGCTCGTTACACAGCTGCCATCCTAAACCTTGAAGCCCAAACCCCAGATCCGCAACCTTACAACCCTAATTAGAACTTAAACCCCTACTTCGCCTGGATTGTCCGAGTGTGAGCACCGACACCCCTACCCGTCCTAGATCAAGTCTGAAATCCGGTACCCCAGCGCTTGAGAACCACAACCGTTGTTTGCAGGTGAGGGCAAGACCATCGTCGCACTCCTTCCGACCTTCCTGGCGGCGCTGGAGGACGAGATCTTGGGGTTGAGGGTTTTACCATGGCCATGGGTTGTAGATGTTGTAGGGGCTTCCGCATCCTGGCATGTCCCACAATCCAGGGCTTGGGTCTACGACGTTTACGGTTTAGGGCTTAGGGATGTTTCTGCTAACTTGAGTCCAGTAGCAAGAACGGGATGTTTCTGCTCGGAAGCCCGTGCACTAGGCAAGTACACGTCCTTCACTGCCCAGGACAAGGGTGGCGTCTTCGTTGTCACGCCAAACGATTACCTGGCCCGCCGAGACGCAGAGAATGTTGGGCAGGTTCTGCGCTTTTTGGGCGTGTCTGTCGGCCTGGTGCAGTCCACTATGGAGGTGCTGCGGGGGGACAAGTAGTCAGTTGTCAAAACGGTGGCCGCCGGTGGCCCTTAGAATGCCTTGTGCAAGTCACAGGAGCCACAGCGGAGCTCTCGTCGTCTCAAGTGCCGACTAGTTAATGTTGATGTTAGTACTGCGTTTATAGTGTGAAGATTGTCATGTTTAATGGATAGTTGAATACTAATTCTTTTTTCGTTTCGCGTTAAGACTACCGTGACAACATTACAAACTACAAAATAGAGCTTAATATGCTGCAGTGCAGGTGAAAGATCGGCAGAAAGCTTACAAGTCCGATGTCGTGTACCTGACAAATGCAGAGCTCGGCTTCGACTACTTGCGCGACAACCTCGCCGTGTACCCGCATCAGGTGGGACTCAGAGAGTAAGGGGGCCCTTCATGCAGACTAAAGACGCCCATAACACGAGAAAATGGGGGACCCTTAATATGGGTAGTTCTCTAAATTAGGGTGCTTTTTGGGTCACCAATATAGTGCGGCACCCTTATAAAAAGGACCCCCAAAGGGACCCTAATTTAGAAAACTACCCATATGGACCCGAAGAATGAGGGCGCTGCCTTCTTTTTTGGGAGCCCTAAAGTGGGAACTCCAGCTTTCTGAGATCACAGGTCGTGCAGAGCAAGCCCTTCCATTTTTGCCTCGTCGACGAGGCAAGAAGCTACTCCCGAGTTCCTATGTAAGTGTCTACAGTTCTGTCGAGTTGTTTTAGAAAGGTTTATGTGCTTCTTTGCGGGTCTTACGATCTAATGCTGCTCTCGAAGTTTAGCAATTTGTTTCCGCGAGTTTCGGGGATGTAGGACTCCTAGGACCTAGGACCTAGGACGAAGGGTTGAACTGTTATCATCCGTACGCGCTTTCGAAGTCCAGAGCGAAGGGAAACTTTCCGATTTCCGAGGCCGAAGGGTTTAAACACTGCATCTCCCTTGATGAGGTCGGTTCCATCCTTCAATCCCCAGAGCTTTTATACCCCCGAGGACGTTAACACTGAAACCCTTCAACCCACAATCCGCTAAACCCTAAACCCTAAACCCTAAACCCTAAAGCCTAAACCCTAAACCCTAAACGCCTCAGAGGCCGACTCCATCCTGATCGACGAAGCCCGTACCCCTCTGATCATCTCCGAGTCAGTGCCGGCTGTGCCGAGACAGTTCCAGGCAGGGAAGGAAGTGGCCACTGCGCTGCAGAAGGACCTGCACTACACTGTGGATGAGACTTGGGCTTGTTTGACCCTGATTTTCCTGGAGTTGTCCAGGCTTCGATGTTTAGGGTTTAGAGTTTAGAGCTTTGGGGTTTAGAGTGTGGGGTGCTGGCGTGGGACCTGAGGTTGTTCGTAGCTGATTTCTGTCTCTTGCCGAGGAGAAGAACATGAACGCGGTGCTGACGGACCTCGGTGAGAAGGTCGCCCAGGACTTGCTGGGCGTGGACAATCTCTGGGAGCCCGAGGACGGGGTTTTCTGAGGATGAGGGTTTTATACAGGGCCCTGAGAAGCACTGCAGCCCCTTCTCAAATAAAGGGCCCTAAAAATCATTAGCCGTAATGACAGTAAGAACAAAAAAAGATCCTACTCGTAAGGGCCTTTGCTTTGTTTCGAAATCGTTTTATCCTCCAAGACCCCAAGGAAGCCTGGATCTTATATGTGCTGAATGCCGTGAAGGCCAAGGAGCTCTTCCAGCTCGGGGAGGAATCCTGGTCAAGTTTTTCTCACGGAGACCTTTGTAAGGGTTGCTAGAGGGTGCCAAGGAAGGTACCTTAAGTTGAGGGACTCAATCCACAACAGGGATATACAGCGCAGACCATATGAGATAAATTTTCTTGATTATGGCAACGTGCTGTGTTACAGTAAGTAAGTCTCAAGACAAGAACCCAGGAGTACATCATCCGGGATGGCCAGGTGGCGATTGTCGACACCTTCACCGGGCGAGTGCTCGAGGGCCGAAGATGGTCCGATGGCATGCACCAGGCCATTGAGACCAAGGAGAACATCGACGTCAGTGTTCGCTCCCAGGTGTCCGCGCAGATCACCTACCAGTCGCTCTTCCGCCTCTTCCCAAGGCTCTGTGCCATGACGGGCACGGCGCTGACGGAGTCGGCGGAGTTCGAGGAGATCTACGGCCTTCGCTGCACCGGCATCCCCACGGCAAGACCCAACGTGCGCCGCGACTACCCGGATGTGGTGTACAAGACGGAGGAGGCTAAGGTGACTGCCGTCGTGGAGGAGATCATCCTGAACAACCAGCGCAACGGTCGGCCTGTGCTGATCGGTACCTCCAACGTGAAGATGTCCGAGGCTCCCCAAGAGCCCTAAACTTCACAAGCGCTGGGCCCGTTAAAGCTTGAATTCTAAGGACTTTAGGAGGGACCCCTCATAGCGACCCTTAATCCCTTTACCCTAAATAACCATTGTATCGTCCTTATATACCCCTTATATGCAGGCCATCGTGACACGGCTTCGCGAGGCAGGAGTGGAGCCGCAGCTGCTGAACGCACGGCCCGAGTCCATCGCAAGGGAGAACGAGACGATCTCCCAGGCTTGTGCAAGGTTTTTCTACCCGCCCCGAACCGTAAGCCCCCGGCTCCGATTGTGGATGCAACCGAGTTTGATGTGGCTCTCCTGTTGTTTGGAAAAAACTCTGACACGATGGCAGTGCCAGCTGCGCAGCTACACTGCTGCTAGCAAGTGGGATCGAGGGTGGCTCCTTCCAAACTTGATGCAGGCTTGCCAGTCCTTACTGCCCCGAATTTGGAATTGCATGAACCTCTTTCTGTCAGTTTCGAGTTGGGCATTTCGGGGCTTCGCCTCTCGTGTCGGGCAACACTAAGCAAGGTCTCTGAGGGTTAAGAAGTCTAAAAACTTCGACCCTACGGCCGTACGAAAAGATGCCAGGTTGCGTAGGGATAAGACTTGGTGTGAGTCATGTTTTGGCTTAACAGCGTTTCCGGTTTAGAACGTTCCCTCAGCTTTCAATCCTACCCACCTTAGGACAAGTATCATTGGATGTGCAATTATCAGGTGACATCGGGTTTCGAGTCATGCTTCCGGTCTCGAGACCAGGCGGGAGGATCCCGCGCCCCTGAACCCAAAGCCCTCAGCCTTGAACCCGAAATACCCAAAACAGTCCCCCTAAAACCTAAACCCCCTAGACCCCAAGCCCCAAGGCAGGACGGTTGGGCATGGTCACCGTGTCCACCAACATGGCAGGGCGAGGCACAGCCCCTCGGCTTTGCGCTCTTAGAACACACTTGCCCGTGGACACTGTCGGGCCTTCGAGCGAGCAAGTCTGGACTCAGAAAATGCCAAATCTCTATAAGGATACTCTTCCTGAAGCCTTGCCAGCCTAGAGCGAGTGTGAGTGTCGAAACTCCGCGTCATAAGTTTTAAGCCTAAGCTCTCAACCCAAACAGACCCTCATAATGTTATCTTCGAGAAACCCTAAACCCATAGATTTGCTAAAGGCAGCACTGTAGCTTTGGCTGTTACTTTACTTACTCAACCCACTTGAAATAGTGAGCAATGCTTCAACGAACCCCCGACAGATAGGGAGTGCAGCAAGCATTTATTCTCTGTGACTGTGTGTTACCTGGCATAATCTATGTACTCTCTGTGAGCTGCTTCATGTCTCTCTGTCGGTCTTGTAGTCACAGTGGAGACAGCACTGTGCGGAGCCTTGCCGGCCTTGTGCGAGTGTGAGTCGAAACCTATAGACCTTAAGCCGACAGCTCAGGACATCATCCTCGGGGGCAACCACTCCCAGATGGCGGCTCTGAACCTTCGATCCCGGCTCGCCGAGGTGCTTTTGGACATCCAGGAGTCCTCCAAGGCCACTGGGTGCCATGAGTTCCGCATGGTTCCGTTCAACAGGGGCTTACCATTTGTGTAGCATATCAAAATATGTAGATAAGTTGCAGTGGGCTGTTGTGATGCGCGCGAGAATGCCGACATGAAGTTTGGGGTGTCCCATGAGAGACTGTTGCATCAATGCTCGTTCTAGCGAGGGCCACTGCGAGACGTCAACGTAGTGACGGCATTTTCAGACAGGTCTCAGACACCGCAGAAGTTGTTGACCCTGTTTATAATCCCTGTTTCATAAAGGTGCTTTAGCCGGGAGTTGGGGTTCCAAGCTCAGTAGCAACGTGACACTTGCACCAGGTGTTCAACCCCAGCGAGGAGTTCTATCCGACGGACATCCCAGGCGTGTGTCAGGGGCCTGCGCTGGAGATTTCGTAGAGTTGAGGGAAGCTACGGGACTACGTCGATATGGGAGGACAGTGAGTCGCTGAGGCCGCGCTGAAGCAGAGAAGGGAAGCCGTGGCAGTGTCATGAATTTTAGCCAAACCCTCAAAGTTGCGAGAGCGTAAACCCGTTAAACTCTCATAGCCCAGTCCCAATCCTAGGCCCTAAACCTTCAAACTCTAAAAATCAAAAAAATCCTGTTCAGCAAAAAAGAAAATCCGTGCTCTCCTAGTGCCAGTGTGCGAGTCGAAGCCCCAAATGTGGCAGATGACCTGGACAGCCGCTTGGAGAAGGCGGTGCAGGCGGTCGCTGAGAAGCTTCGGCTGCGGGTTTTTGCGGGAATATAGCAAATTATGTTCAGAAATATATGATTCCAATAAGTATTTCGAAAATGAATATTATAGATAATATCATAATTAATGAGGTTTTGGTGGCCTTGTAGCTGAGAGTTTGGAGTTTCGGGGCTGTTCAGGAGGAGACCTGTGGCTTCGGCTTTGGGGTGCGCTCCCATGCAGAGCAGTCACGCAGCACGCCGGTTTCGGGGCGCGTAGCGTTTAGGGTTTAGGGTTTAGGGTTTAGGGTTTAGGGTGTAGGTAGCAGGGTCTCTGGCATTACCGAGCTTGGGCATGCTTCCGGCCATGACTGTCTGGTGCTTAGTAGGGAATGGGGGAATGGGTTATAGGGACTACTATAAGGGACCTTAAGGGTCTATCATAGGGATCCATTCCCCCATTCCCTACTCACCAGACAGATGAAGTAGCCAGCCGCGCTTTGCCAGGAAGGGAGGCATAGGGCTGACATTCTGCTAAATTTCCTTCGCCCGACCCGTGCTCACCTCACGCAGATGCAGAACCCTTCGCCCAAAGCCCCTATGCCCGATGCCTCAAACCCGAAACTACCGGAAACCCGAAGCCAGAATTGCACAAATCCGGAATCCCGGACCCTATAAATCCAAGACCCTCAGCCCTAAATACCGGTTTCCGAAAACCGAACCCTCATTTCAAAGCCCGGAGCTCCGCTGCCAAGGAAGCCAGTGGGACAGGACTTGGAGACCTTCCTGGACGTGGAGGCTTGCTGGTTAGCATTTGGGGTTTAGGGTGAAAGGGATCAGCTTTTCCTTTGTGCTCTTGCCTTAGGAGGGGGTGAGGGTTGCATCGGCACTGGCCGGCACCTCAGTCCTTGCTGAANNGATTCCTGGCATATGCATAGTCCAGGGGTAAAAGGGTTCATGGGATTTAGGGTTTCAGGAGCTCAGCTACAAAACGGTTTGAAGGTTTAAGGTCTTGTGCGCTATTTCCAGAGAAGGTGAGGGTTGCGTAGGTGCTGGCCGGCACCCGGGTCCGTGCTAAAAATTGTCTCGGGAAAAAGGTAAATGATGCACGACAGGGTTTGCAACAAATGTCGGGGCCATTCCTGAGGCTTCCATGTATCACCCCTAAACCCTGCACTTAGAACATTAAACTCGAAAGCTCCAGCCGAAAGCCTCGAGCCATCTCGGTCCCCAGATCCCAAATGCTCCAACCCATAACCCTACTCCGTCCGTCTCAGCTCGCTGAACCCTGGTTGCAGGCATCGCAACCCCAAATTCTCTAGTCTCCTTCCCGAATCCCCTACTCTCAAAACCGTTCATCCTTAACCCTTGCGAAGGAGTTGGTGGCCACCGTGGGCGGCGAAGCACCGTTCGAGGAAGGGGAGAGCAAGGAGGCTCGTTTTAGGCACAAGGCATGTTAACGGAAGTTTGAGGGTTTTGGAGGGTTCGTGGACTATCGGAATGGGCTTGAATTTCACGGTTGAGGGCTCGAGCCTACGGCAAGAAGTTTGGGGTTTTGGCGTTTAACGTGCTTGCGCTTCACGGCATCGCTGGGCTTGAGTCCTTACGGCCTAATAGCGGTTTTGGCTTGTTTATCTATCTGCAGATGCTGTTTTCCAACTTGAATTTGCTGGGATGTTGAGGGA